TATATGGCAGTGGATAGAACAAAGTCCCTGTCCTCATAGTACTTTTGGGTGAACTTATAGGTAGCACATCCACCTAATGAGGGTATGTTGTTCTCCTTTTATCTAAATGTCATTGTTTTATATAAATTGGCATTTGAATAGTCACAGAGAATGGCCCTCATTCTGACAGCATAAGTCAAAATGTTTGTGGTCCTGTGAGATGGAGACTTGTGTCTACTGCTGCTTTGTTTCATTAAACCATAAAAACGTATAAGAAAAAAACTGACCAGTTTAGGTAAAAACAAAATCAACAAATCAGAGCTACTTTTTCTGTAAGCTACATATTTTTCTTACAGTTACAGCAGGTTTAACATGACTTGCGGGTGCTGATTGTTTAAACACCATCGTCAATCATTTTGCCTCTCTAGGACGACACTGTTACCTTAAGGACAAGGATCTAATCTCTAAGGTGGGCTCAACACAACACACATTGTAAAATGATTTTAAGAAAACAAAACCTTATGAGACTGGATCTACTTATATTTTTAAAAAGATAATAGTAAAAGTTTAATATCTCTGGTCTTAATTAAAGAAAAATATATGTTCACTATAAGACGAAAATAATATGGAAATGTATAACCTAAAAGTACTATTTATACAGAATTATAATATTTGTTGGTCTAAGTAATCGATCTATTACTGGCTTCTACAGTCATCCTTCATATACCCATGAATGCCTGGCTCCAAAACCCCTCCAAATACTGAAATCTGTGCCTGCTCAAGTCCCTTTTATATAAAATAGTACAGCATTTACACAGACAATATGCATTCTCTTGTATATAGTAAATATCTCTAGATTACATATAATACCTAATACAGTATAAATGCTACATCAATGATTGTTACAATATATTGTTTAGGAAATAATAACAAGAATAAAATACATATTTATTCAAGACATAAGCATTTTTGTCAAATATTTTTAATCTGTGCTTGATTGAATCCCCACTGAAGAACCCATGGATATAGAAAATGACTACATGGTTATAGAACACTGGTCAGTAGCATCAGTTTGCTGGGCTGGCCAGGACATTTCTTATTCATAGTAATATCAGCAGTCTAGAATAACAACTGATATATTCAAAACTAACATCTAAAAGGAGAATCCAGTGATGAATACAAATTCCACTCAAAAGCATAGGTCATAGCATGCATTTATAGCCATCAGAGCCATCTTGAAGAAGACAGAGCAGGGCACCGCCATCCATGTGAGATAATCCCAGGACATCAGCAGCAGAACCTCATAGATCACCCAGGGCAGTGGGCAGGGCAAGAGGAGAGTGTAAACAAGCCCCCAGGTGAATTCTGAAACACACTCACACTAAAAATCACTGATTTGGCCCATCTTCATCATTTCACAAACTGAGGTTGGTGCAAGTTAAGAAATGTGTAGGGCTGGGGAGACAGTTCAGCAGCACAGTGCCTGTCTGACAGGTGCGGAGTCATGGGTTTGATTCCTGGTACCAAAAAAATGTCGTATGTCACTGTACAAGGAGTGCTGAGGTTGGATCAGAATACAGGATTCTGAGTCCTGGTCTGCTCTTTTTCCTCCTGCAGCAAGCCACGTTAGGAGGCAACTCTTGTACACTAGTACCAAGCAGCTTGGCTGCGATGTACTTTCCTACCGTAAGTGTCCAAACAAATCTCTGTTGTACAAGAGCCTCTCATCCTAACAAAAGAACCTCAGATGTGTGGGTCATTAGTGGTAGATTTTTGCTGATATGTGCTTTGCTTTTGGAAAGTATAGGGAAGTTTCATAATTAAATAGAAGTATAATTATAACCTGATGAGCTAGTGGGCATGTAACTTTTGAAGTTTAGACCAAAAGAAAAACAACAGTTGGATCAGTCACACGCCATCTGCCACGCACACCAGCAGTGGTGGCTTCATGTCCTGTTGGTCATGTGAAGTGAATGATTCGCCGGTGGGATTTTGGGAGAGGGAACTCCAAGTGTGCTCAGCCCTGGACTGGGGACAATGTCTCACTTCCAGTGCTTTTCTCTCTGGCTGAGTCATGACACAGCCACCAGAGAATCCAAAATAATTGTCTGCCTGACCATGGAAAAGGTCACCAACAGCACTGAGCGCCACAGCTTAGAGAAGTGGGTGAAAGGGAATACACAAGTTCTGCAGTATGTTTAGAGCTCACCACACATTTATCTAAGTTGAAAACTTTGGTCTCAGAGGAAATTTTCCCCAGGAGTGAGCTCTATTGAATATAGCTCACATGCAGCGAGGCTAAAGCTGGCATTTCTGCTGGAAACAGATGAATAGCACCCCATTAAATTCTACTTGTTTTTACTTTTTACTAAAAAAATTTGGAGTTCAGACAGAACAGTTAATGTATGCCCAGCTCTAAAGCTATGAAGAATAGTCCTTTTCGATAGATGCTTGGTGTAGTATTGGGCAAGAATAATGATACAAATCATAGGAGGCTTATTCTATTCTCTGTATTTGTAAAAATACAGTGCTCTTCAGGGCTCATGTATGATTCTTAAAAATCACAAGTGATATTAATTAACTCTCACTACTTCCCAAACACTGTGTTACTTGCTTTTTTGTCAATAATCCTACTGGGTTCTTGAGCAAGTCTGTTACATTGGTAGAGTTTTACATCTGGGCATGTAGAAATGTAGAGAAACTAAGGACTGTCTGGAGGCACCCAGGAGTAAGAGACAAAGCTGAAATTCAACCCTAAATGTGTGTGCCAATGAGCCTGCGCTTTGCTGCTCTCACTCAGTTCACATTCTAGTCCGCAGACCTGTAGATCACATAGCCTCGCGTAATTTAAACTGTACACTGGGGCCAGAGGTGTAGCTAAGTGGTAGAGCATGTGTTCAGCATGTTCGTGCCCCTGGGTTCAGTTCCCAGCACCCAAAATAGATGCGAATGAAAAATTGGTAATTTAGATTTGTATATAGCTTTCGCACAAATTAATTAGTGAAATCTTGTGTGAGTCAAATTCTGGATCATTCCAAACTGGAATTCCCCTAATGATCTCACAAAAGAGCCTCTGATGACCCAAAGAAGAATCACACTGGAAGTTTCCACAAATGCCAAGTCACTCCTCAGAGTTGAGTAAAGATAAATTGAATAGTAGCAACTTAGACTAATATAGCTGATGGGGGTTTTTGTTCAGGTAGCTGCATCTCCCCCTACCTCCGCTATCCACCACCTTCACATTGTAGATGGAAACACTGAATCTATACTTTTTCCTCATAACGAAAATACTGTATCTCCAGCTCTTTAGTCTTGGGCACAGGAAAGACACACCGGACGTGGCCTCCCCACCCTTTGCCTTGCTTGTCTTTAGGCAGAATGATTGTTGTCATTTGCTCCATGGTGCATCCGATGCTTTAATTCAATAATCGAAAATAGTTGTTTTAATTAGGCACAGCATTAAACACATTATCAAGGAGAAATGAAACCGAAAGGATCAAGTCAAGATCACAGCCCTGTATTTTCTTCTGGGGTCACAGTTGCTGATAAATGATGCAAAAGGCACAAGACAAGAGGTCCTGCCTACCTTTTGACCCAAAGATCTATGAGAATGGGACGGCAGGGGTTGGAACAGGGGAGCAGAAAACCACTTGCAGCTGCCATTAGACTCATTTTGCATCCCTAAGCATGCCACCGATTCTAAGGAAAATCTTTTGAAAAAAAGGAGAAGGCAAAAAGAGTCTGGCAAATGGCACAAAACCTACACAAAAATCCAGTTCTATTGCGTGTTCTCATCCTCGTTAGGATGTGTGTACCAACCGATGGTCTGGTTTCACATAAAGATTAATTACTTGACAGTGATTAATGCATCATCTGCCTAAATTAATTTTAAAATAAGTGTCCAGCTATTTTTATTATACTCTTCACATCCCAGGGAATCTCAACCAGTAAATTTCATGGAAATAATTATTTCAAAATGTATGCATGGCCGTTGCCTTTCACCTATTCAGCACCTCTCTGAATTCAATTATTAATATTAGTAAACATGAATAGACTTTCAGGGTGACCTTGTTGACCTATTTTTGACAACACAATTTGGCTCCTTCATCATTGGCCACAATGAGTTCTTGGTAACATTATCCTTTTTGGTGAATTTAGTGGAAACAAGTTAGACTTTCACAAACTGGTGGTGTATAAGCTCGACTGGCTTGCTCTGTTCAATCTGCTGCCTGGAAAACCAGGCACTGTGAACATTTTTCAATTGTATCTCCAGCTTAGTTTTTTCACTCTTACTGGCACAAGCAATCAATCTTAATCCTCCCACTTCTAGTCGCACGTTGCTTTCCAAAACTAAAGCTATATGCCCCAAAATCTTTGCCCACTTCTGTGTGGCAGATGATACTCTCCATCAGCAGTGAATAATAAACGTGCATTCAGCCCACATGTGGCACCTGAATACATAAATCCCCACATGCAATACTATTTCAAAGTGACTTTCTGGTTCTTTTTTCCCCCTCTTACTTCAGTGATGCAGAGTAACAGTCACAATTGAACAGCCCCCTTTTGGGAATGGAAAGAAAAGAACAAGAGAAGGGCACTTCAGTTCAGACACAGTGCAACACCCCCCCCAGCCCCGTGCAAACCACAGTTCTTAACAGATACCCTGAGAAGGTGCCCAGGACACAGTGCTGGGGAGGAGTGACCCATCCAGTGGGACACATCCTACACCCCAATGGCTTCCAGTTAACACTGCCCCATTATCCTTTCCCAAATTCAGATTCAACACAGTGTCCTTTTAACCCCAATGCAATTTTGCTTCCAATTTTGCCAGCCTCAGCTCTGCAAAGCATTGGTATTCTATTTTTTAAAAAGATACATGTTTAAATTCTGGGCCATCCATCAGTCATACCCTTTGATTAAGGACTACACGCAGTAAGGGATTCTCTGTTGGAAGACACCCAGGGTAGCCTCCATCCCAGGGGCTTGCAAATGCAGTAGAAAGGATTGCGTGGGTAACTTACCAGCTCCTGGGTCTGGATGGCTGCAGCAGCCCCTCTGCTTTACCTGGTCCCTGGCTCTCTCTGTCTCTGTCCCTCTCTCTCTCTCTCTCTCTTGTGTACAGATTGCAGGGAACTTAAAGAACTAGCAGGGACAGTATTTCATATGACTTAAGAAAGAGAACAGGAACAATACTTCGTTCTCTTTTTCTCAGATGAGTACCTTCGGGAAGAAGGAAGGAAGGGAGGGGAGAGGGAGGAAGTCAACAACCCTTTGCTTTCCTGAAAAAAAATAAGGAAACAGAAGATAGACATCTCATTTTCTCTTAAACAAAATGTTGGAAGGGGCAAAAAAAAAAAAAAATCTTTGAAAAAAAAAAAGGAATTCCTCAAATATACTCTCTGCCCTGGGAGCTTTAAAGAGATGAAAACGCCTTAGTGGCCTGTCCTGTCCAAACAAATGGTGTTCCAAAAAGGCAGGCTTTCTCTCCTGCGTGTGCAGCCTCTGGTATCTGGTTTGCAGAACTGACACAGCCGAAAGGGAACAGATCATGTCATGTCGACTCTGAGCAGGGGAACGTTGGGTCCATTGTGCTAACTGAAGTAAACCTGCAGCCTGGGGGACGTGGCTTTGTGACTGCTCTGCCAGGATTTCTGGCTTCTCCTAGGCCCTTTGAAAATCAGCACTACTACAATGCCTCGGCTAACTCCAGAACCTAGAGTTCTCCCAGGATCCAATAGCAGATTTACGCACTGGTCACTGAGCTCTACGCAATAGACCAAAACCAATTTCCACCTTTGCTAATGGATGAAAAAGGGCAAGAAGCCACCTAGCACAGCACTGCCAGACACAGCTGCCTCAGAACTATTGTTCACAGTGCCCTATCCTTTACATGCCTAAGGCTCCATGGATATAGCCTCTGCTGGAAAACTGGAAGGTGATCTCTAATTCGTTTTTTAAAATCCTGTGAAACAGCATAGGTTTTAGATAAATCAGCCACCAGTTTTGAGAAAGGATAGGGAGGCTGAACAGAAGGAGCAGAGAAAATCCTTTATCACGGAGATGTGGGAGTGCATGGGGAAGGCATGGGCTGAGCTCTGTGCTGGGATCGTTGTACTTAGGAATACAGCGGGTTTAAATTCTCCAATTGCTTTGTGTATCTTGTGCCCTTCATTCATCTAGTTATGACCATTGTCACCGCAAACAGGAACCAGGAGTTACACAGACTTCTGCGGCAGCAGAAGAAAAACCAGCTTCAAACTGCTTCCTCATTTTAGCTAATTGTAAAAAAATGAGAGTTACACCTGATTGCAAGAAGCAATTAAGTGAGTTCAGGGAAAAGATGATTCTTATTCAGGGTGCATGTGAGACTTTAATTAGGTACAAGGATCTGTAGCATCAAGTATTTAGTCCAAGTTTCCTCCTATTTTCTACCTTTCTATTGCCACCTCTCTACTGATCTGTGTACCTCAGCTGTGCGTGCTTATCAGAGGAGGTGTGTGGTGTGGACATCCAGGCACTTGGGAGAGCCAGGGCAGAGTCTCCTTCTTTGTATTGTCTGTGACACCAGCACTGACCCACCCATGTGCTCCTGTCATGGGTCACCCGTCCTCATCCACAGATGAGAACACTGGCGACCAGCAGAAGTGGCTATTTGCCCCAAATCACACACATGGAGGTAAAACCCCATGCGCTCACTGGCACCCTCCACCCAGCTCCTGTGCGCTGGCCCTCTGCTGGCCTCGTCTGCATCTTGCCTTCATGGGGATGGGAAAGAAAATCATGAAAACTCAAGAAAGCAAGGAAGAGCTGAGAAGGGAGTGGGGCAGGAACAGGAGCTGTGGCTTCCAAAGGGGAAGTGGGTCAGTGGGACTGCATGAGTGGGAAGCAGCAGGGAGAGGGTGGGCACAAGCTCAGGAGAAAAGCAGGGAACAAGAAAGCATGAAGAGGGGCTGGGGATTTAGCTCAGCGGCAAAGTGTCTGCCTGGCAAGCGCAAGGTCGTGAGTTCGGTTCCCGGTACTGGAGAAAAACCAAA